TTAGGCTGGCTGTGGCTCCTCTCTAGCTCATACTGGGATTCGTCGATTTTTTTTTTTTCTTTTTTTTTTTTTGGTCCCCCCCCCCCCCCCCCCCCCACCACCACCAAAAAGATTCACCACCGTCCTGAGGGCCTCGAGTCCACCACTCACCAAATGTGAAAAAGACTAAACTGTGGCGGGTGTATCTTTCCAGGTTCTGGCGGGAGATTCATTCTCATTTTGCACGTTTGCTGAGTGGTGGAGCGACGCCCTCCTGAGCAGTGTCTGCATTGGCCAACTGGCTATCACCTGGTCATTATAGCCGTATGCAGGTGATAGCCACTTGGCCAGATACATATCTGTATCTGGTCATTATAGCCATCTTTCAGAGGGGCCAGATACAAATATAATGACCGGCCGTTGTGTTCGGGAAAACGGCCCACCTAATCGTCCACGCTTCCGGCCAAGATGGAAAAAAAAAAAAAAAAAAAAAAGACCAACTGGCCTACTACCGGTAGTAGCTCAGTTGCCACACCCCTGAACTGTTGAAGTACACAGACCTGAGTTCGAACTCCCACTGGAAGCAGGTGAGCAAAACACCACAACTCTGAATATTGCCTTGGGCCGATCAGTCCCGATGATGATATCTCAAGGCCGTCGCCCTTTTCTTTATTACTCTACTAGTATTATTAAAATAAAATAAAAATCCGCCATGCCCATACCTCAATTCGAGTAGAAAGAAGAAGAAGAAGAAGAAGAAGAAGAAGGACAAGAAGAAGAGGAAGAAGAGAGTAGAATAGAGAATAGCAAGGCCAATGGCTACGTAGTCATCCGAGCATCAGAACTTACTCTTCATCGAACAAGCTCGGACATACAACAGCTCAGAAATTGCACAGAAGACGAAGAAGAAGAAGGAATACACACACGGGTTAGTAAGCAATGTCAATGGCTATGGCTATATGAAGAAGGCCCGCAATAACGACGTACGTACCCGGCGGCAGCGATGGCAGCGATGGCGGCATGCCCGCTCAGCCACTACTTGGTCGTTGCTTCCTTAGTAGTAGTAATAGTAGTAATAGTAGTAGTAGTAGTAGTAGTAGTAGGAGGAGGAGGAGGAGGAGGAGGAGTATGCGGAATTTTGAAACGAGGGAGACGAGTGCAACGTGTTGCACAGCTCTTTCTTTCTCTGCGGGCAAGTGACTTTCCCGCGCAACAGTGACCTTCCCGCTTCTCCCTCCGTCCCGCCGTCGCTCCCTCCCTCCCTCTCCGCTCCTCTTCCTCGCGCTTTGAGACTTTTTCTTTGTTGTTTCCGTTGCGATTTTCTCTGATGGGCCTCGATCGCCTGTCTGTTCAGTGATCATCACGAGTTTTAGTTTAATAGTTTAATAATGTGGATTCTTGATTTATAGCCGTCGATCTCATGTAGAGAAACGCAGAAGTCGACTAAGTAAGGGCATACTCACACACACTCGGACCTTTTTGGTTCCTCTCTGGACGTAATCCCGGTCAGACGAACGCATCACAAGCCGCCATTCCGGTTAATACAAGAAGAAGGAAGGAAAGTGGTATGGCCAGAATGCTCTAAAAGTCCTTCGGGACATCCGTTAAAATTGGAACGATACAGAGGAGGCTGATTAGCATGGCCCCTGCGCAAGGATGACACGCATAAATCGAGAAATGGTCCAAATTTAAATAATAATAAAAAAAAAGAAAAAAAAGAATGCTCTAAAAGTGGGATACGCCGCCTTGGGCGCGAATCCGTCACCTGTACATATAGGTAGGAATACTATTCGTTTACTCACTGAGCATTCACGCTTGGACCTTTTTGGTTCCTCTCTGGACGTATTTCGCGGTCCGATGAGCGCATCAGAAGCCGCAATTCCAGTTAGATACAAGAAGCAAAGTCCTACTGTGAGACTGCTCTAAAAGTGGGATACGCCGGCATGGGCGCGCAGCTACCACCTACACATATACATATACATATAGGCACACTGTTCTATAGTGGGATTCGTTACTCTCTGAGCAGTCTATTTCTATATCTCTACACCGTGCCGCTGTGGCATTGCACGCCACAACGCCATTGTGCCTCTAACGAATTCACCAAAAAAGAGCGCGTTCCAATTCATGAATAATAAAAAAGGAGGTATCAAAAAGTAATAATAATAATAATAATAATAATAGTAAAAGGAGGCCGGGAATCCCTCCACATCTCCACCCGCCGGAGCATGGTCCCACTAGCAACGGGGATGGATTGAGATCTGGCTATGTTCTATGCAGAGATACAGAAAAGCAGTTCGATCTCGATTTCCTGCTTCAGGCATTCAAGCCCATGCTCTCTTGCTAATAGGACCACGGCCCCGGAGTGCTGGCCCCACTACCCAGATAGGGGTCTTGCTGGAAACCAGGTCCAGCCTCCCATACCAAAATGCAATCTCGAGAAAAGCATCAACTGGACAACGAAAGGAAGAGAATTTATTTATGGGAAAAGTTTTGAAATGCCCCTGAAGTTTGCATTAATTTGCGATTTGCCCCTCCGACGGCCGACTTACCCTGATTTGCCCCTGGGCCTCTGAACTTTCGAACAGACCCTTGTCAGTGAGGGGCACAACTTTTTGGAATGCCCCTACGCGGCGGTCCTATTTCCCCTGCTGCCTGTCCGATTTGCCTGTCCGATTTGCCCTTCTGTGGGGGATGCATCTTCCTGAGATGCCCTCCAAGGGGGAGGAGCTAAGAATTTGAATTCCAACCCCATACTTTTCCAAGTCGCCGCGCAAAAAAAAAGGCTGCACACCATGTCGTGTCCGCTGCTGCAATCCACCGTGTAGTGCATTCTTCAGCTACTGCGACCCGCCGCCGCCTTGGACGTCGGCAGAGTACGCTGGCTAAGGTCAGTGTTCCTCCCCTTGTTCCACGTCTCTCTCTCTCTCTCTCTCTCTCTCTCTCTCTCTCTCTCTCTCTCTCTCTCTCTCTCTCTCTCT